AATTGAGATTGTGATGGATTTTAAAAAGTTGTCTAAATTTAGGAATTTTTTTTTATTGATATTTTAGTAGATTTTAATGAAATCCATTAAAATTTAGATGTCCCCAATCGAGATTTTAATTAAATTCAATGAAATTTTTTAAAATTTAGACATCCTTAATAACTAGTGGATTTATAAAGATTCACCCGATGGATTTCTAGTAAAAAATAAAACATTCAACCAAATCTTTTGGAATTTCACCATATTTGACGAGATTCTTATAGAATTTGTGAAAATCTATTCAAATCATTAGGATTTATAATCTTCTAAAATCCATCAAAATTTTAGTTGAAAATATCCCCGTAAAACACAATGCTAATCATCCAGTCCACGCGAGAAACAGTTCACGGCCCAATTCTGGTCTCCGTTTAGCAAAGGTGAACGTGATCACAGTAGCCAGTAGGCTCAGCAACTCCCAAAATCAGCAATGGTTGACCTCCAATTATTGAGTGTATAATCCCACAAATTGCAGTCGATGCTAATGTTTGAACCGTCGTTGAACTCCATCTGATGATGTATTGATTAAAAAATTGATTTTATAAACTCTATCGTTCAAAATTTTTCCTTCTTATAATTAAGTTCTACTCGTAGGTTAACCTGGCATATTCCATTGTTGAGTTAGTTCAACAACAGTTTAAAATATCTTAAAAATCTTAAGTAGATAATTTCTGATACCTGTATTTCTATTTGGTTTAAACTCTCAGAGCCCAGAAGGATTCAGGATGAGAATTCACGTGTACACAACATTGCTATATCTGGTAAGACATTATAAACAAAAATGAGGGTTGCCCAGATTACATGTTTCAATGCCCAGTACTACTTATTCCAAGAATTAAAATTCAATAACTTTTAGAGTAGTAAATGTACTATGGGAAACAATGTGACCCCACAAAGAAGGAAGGAAAGGAAGCTCCAAAATATAGAGCTCCTGATTCAGAGTGGGGAGAGAGAGAGAGCGAGAACAATGCAGGTCAAAAGAAGATGCGAGGGTCTTTCCTGGAGTTGACAGTAGTACACAGTAGTTAATTAATGTCAAGTAGACGTATTTTAATACAAACAAATTGGAAGAGGGGGAGAGAGATCAAGCCAAGCTGGCTTTGAAATTCATGGCATTGCACTACATATACATATATATCTACACAATTATACACACATACTTCCTTTGCGAATAAGTGCATGCTCTTTTTGTACAGTAAGATCATCGTTGCCTTGCTCGTTTGACTTCACAGAGGCGAATCAATGGCGGTAAATGGGGAGCGCCCAATATCTTTTTTTATAAAACCTAATGTTATTTATATTGAGGGCTAGTGATAATCGTCCAAAATGGTATACATATGACAATTTCATCTAGGATAACTATGGTAATCCTCCCTATGAATAGTATTGTTCATAATAAAATCACTTGGTTTCTTTTTTTAATTTTTTATTTTATAAAAGTTGAATTTTAATAATTTTATATTTTATCGCAAATAACGAGAATTCGCATTCTTAAATTTTGTCTATTTGTAATTAATTAATCGATCTTTTTCAAGTGAATTTTATTTACTGAATCGTTGTGGAACATATGATTTAAGATAAATTGTAACGATAAAGTTCTTTTATGTTGCATTGATTTATTTCAAAGCTAATATATCGTTGCATTGATTTATTTCAAAGTTAATATATCGTTAATTTCTTAATTTAGAATGAGCTATTCTCTTTAATACTTTAATTTTGTCCACATTTAACACTTTCTAGCTTGTCATCACAGTTTCGAGTGGAAATATTATTGCTTTTCTTTCTACACTCAATCACACTTTAATTTTTGAGCTAATTCTTTCCATTTTGAAGTAGCTTTGGCGTGATTTTGTCTTGAGATTAAAGTTTTTGAAAATGGTAATTCAATAATAAAACTAAAACCAACAGGCACGTGTTAATAAAATCTGATGCATGCTTTCCAATCGTGACCATTGAATAAGTGGTGGGGGCTGTTGAGGATTGAAGTCTTTTCCTAAATAAATAAGTTTAGAGCAGAGCCACTAATATTGATTGGGAGGAAGTGCACAAAAAAGAGAAGTCAAGAGGCTTCGAATTTATTTTTTGGCTCATTGCACATATTCACGGCTGTTGTCGAAGTTTGCATGTGAAAAGTAAAAGCAATTTCATGTGGAGGAAATGAAAACGAATAAAGCGATCATATATACACTGTGGACCTACCCACAATTAATAAGTTCAAATTTAGGGATGACAAAAAATTATGTTATACCCGCCTCGCCTCGTAATTAGGTAATTGGGTTGAGGATGGGTAGGTACTAGTAATACGGGCCTTGTCTCGCCCCGCCCCGCCCCTATTTAATATTTTTTTTCAAGAATTTAATACTTTAGATGAAAAACTCTTCGAAATTTCATTAATTCTAATAGAAGATGGCAGCTAAGATTATCTAAGAATATGATAAATAATAAAGACTTTAATTTATCAAATATATTCGAATAATTTAATTTTAAAAATAAATTAATTAATTAAAAAATTTAATAACAATATTATTGTTTCACTTTAATGAATGTAGGTAATAAAAATAAATTATCAAAAATTCAAAAATAAATAAATAAATAATCGGGTATCTAAACTGGGCAATCGCCCTTCCCTATCTTAAACAGGTAATGGGACAGGTACGAGGCGGGAAAATGCTTGGCCTCGCCCCCGTTGCCATCCCTATTCAAATTTTGAGCAAAGGTTGAAAAGTTGGGATCCTCATCTCAATGTGAATTGAGTTTTGTGGTGGGCAATAATATTCCTTGTAAAAGCTTTTTTTATGTTATTGACGTTGTTTAAGATGGATATTTATGTTACTCATATTTTGTGGTATGGATTAGTTTTAGACGAGTAATATAACGTGTTTCTCGTATTTTGTGGTGGTGGTGTTAACATATGGTATGTAAAATATTATTAATGTATTATTCCCTATTTTTTTTTTTTTTTTTGGATCAAACTATCATTTTTATACCAAACCCTATTACCCATTCCACACCAAATTTGATTCTTTGAATTTTTTTAAAATTTGTTAAACTCATTTTAAACTATACATTTTTCAATAAAATAATTTTACACATAAATTAAAAATTATTTTTTTTAACCACACATCCTTAAAAAAATACTATTCTAAAATACATTTTATCTCCAAGATGGGGATCAAAGAAGGGCCTAATGTTGTTGTTTGGGGTGATGTAGCGATGATAGTGACGATAACTTAAAAGTGTAACTTCGTGTTTGTGTTACAATTGTTACGTATTAAAGATGGTGATAGAATTTGAAGGTGATAGTGTTAGCAACGAATGTTAAACACAGCTTGTTACAAATAATATTCATGCAAGTACTTTAAAATTTAACAATTGTAACATAAATTATTACAAAAAGAATAATAACAATTGTTTTGAAATGTGTAAATCAGTATTTTAGATAATAAAAGGGAAAGTAATCTCTTGGAGGATTGCATACTGGTAGGCCTAAATTAGATGAAATAACCTAATATTCGTGGGTAAAAAATTAACAACCCTGCTACATATTCAGGAATGGTTGACAAATGCTCAAGGGCCGGGACGGTGGAACCCTCAAGGTTGGGGTTCAACCTTTAGGAAATGGCTGACAAATTTTTGACAAATATACATGTGGCAATATNCAATTTCCGGGTTTCCTTATTTATTTATTATTATTTTTTGCAATGGAAAAAAATACTAACCACAATTGTAAATCCCTTTAATTGACAATTTTCATAAAAAATAAAGTCAAACAAATACCAAAAGATACAAAATTTCAACATTTTTCAAGTGAAAAATTATACTAATCAAATACATTTAATTAACAATTCTCAATAAAATTCATTTTCTTTCCACCCAAATTTCATCATTACAATCAAACGGACCCTTAATTCAAAATTAAATGGATCAAGCAACCATCCTCGTGAATACAACACTATACATGTGCTGGACTTGGAGGACAAAATATGCCTATTTTTAAATGGACACATTGAGTCCCAGTTTTCTTAAAACTCCTTATTTTTTAAATTTTTTTTAACAAAAATTATTTTTAAACACACATTTTCATAAAATAATGTTATACATAAATTTAAATTTTTTTCCTATTTTTTAATCACACATTTTCCAAAAAATCACTATTCTAAAACACACTTTTTCCAAAAAAAGGGGGGGGGGGGGACTCA